ACATGGCCCTCCATGGCTGGCACATCTCCTAATGATTTCCATCTACTCCCTCCCCATAGACCTTTCGTGTGTATATTTTGGCACACATTCTCTTGGTTCTGTCTAACTCCTTTCTCTATTTCTTTCCCTGACTTTCTCCCTCTCCCTCCTCTTCACAACTCTTCAGAAAATTTGTTAAACTATACACTCTTTATTATTAATATGCATTATGAAAAAGTCTTCATAGTTACAAAAGTGCATGGTTATAAAATCATTTCCATACAAACGTTGGTATCTTTCCTTTTCCCAACCCACTCCAACCCTCCCATCCCCAGACATCAACACTCTGAAGGGCAGAAGTTAGGAAAACTGAGAGCCTTGTTGATCCAGAGCTCTCCACCCAGTGCCAGACGAACACAATGGTGATTTATAAAGGACCTTGCAACTTTGCCTCTCTCATTTCCCTTTTTTGCCTCTTGCTAGGGTGGTGAGAGCAGATCAGTTCCTCTACCTTTGAGACGATGTCCTTTTGAGGAATGATCAAAAGTGTCTCCTTAGATTCTTCTAGAGCTGGAACGGATGTCAGAGCCATGCCAACAAAGACATCTAGGGGAAAATGGGGTTGGTAGGTCTTTCTTGATGATTGAAGAGAAATACTTGTCTTGGTTTTTTCAAATTTTATACATCAAGCTCCTTGAAAGGAGCCAAGAAACTATAGCAACTTAAGGAACCTATTTCTGCTGGGACCCCTGGGAATGCAGAAGCAGAGATAAGGGTTTGCTTGAGGGTAACCAGAAGCAATTGGCCTAGAGTATGTGACTATCAGGCCTTTTCAAAGAACAATGTTCTTGACCTCGACCTTGATCACGTAGTCCAACTTAGCTAGCTAAACTTTAGTATTCTTGGATCTAGCATGAAGGAGGCTCCTGTGACTAAGACAAGTCTCTGCAGGGCAGACAATGTAGGGCTACACAGAGAAGTCAGACTTGCACTAGGCTGCCAGGCCACCTACGTTTCTATTTTTATATTTTTCTGAGCTGCCAGCCCTACTTCAAATCAGACTGTTGTCCATCCATCTTGGTATATCAAAAGATGTAACAGACGGAAGGCTGAGTAGGTTTTGTCAAGAACTGAGTGTAAATTCCAGAGACATCTGCCCTTTGTCAGCAGATACCGAACACATAAAGAACTTTATAGACAGATACAATGACTCAGAGATATTCAACCATATACACATTAACCAGTTTGGAAAAGCAATAATGAAGTCTTGTGGGAATCCCATGATGGGTTCTTGGTCACCAGGGAAGACCAGTAGGAACAGTTCTAACAGGGATTTCTAGATTGCCTCTAGAAGTGTGCTTATTTGTTGCTTCTGACAGCTGGAACAAGGTGGTGGCAATAGTGGCAGTGGTGCAAGTGGGGAATTTCTTGGCAACAGGGAGGCTGAGTGAACTGCCTCACTTCCCTCATTGTGCTTCAGTTAGCTGGGGACCTTCTAGCAGCTGAAGACATTCTGTACTTTAAAAGCCATGATGTGGCACTGTAGGATAAAGCACTGGACCACCAGGTTGGTTTGAAGCACAAGGTTGACAGTTCAAACTCACCAGCTGCTCTTTGAAAACCCTATACAGGGTCACTATGAGTCAGAACTAACTCATGGCACTTAACAACAACAACAATCCTTCTCAGAAAGGTATGCCATTAATGGAGACCAAATTGGCACACTAGAAAGAACATCTGATCTTAAAGTGTGTTTGACACCTTGTTATCTCCTAGTTCTATGCAAAAAAGTACCTATCCTGAAATATATTGGTTATCTAGTAGCATACAAGAGTCCTGGTATGGCGCTGTGGTCTAATGCGTCAGAATGCAAAGTTGTTGGATCTGCAAGTCGGTGGTTCAAGCTCACCAGCTGCTCCTTGGAAACCCTATGCAGAGTTGCTTTGGGTTGGAATCAACTCTATGGCACTTAACAACAATAGCAACAACAACACAAAAGAAGCATATAAGAGTCCCTAGGAGATTATCATAGGTGCACATGGTGTTCCTCTATGGAAGGCTTTCCTATTTGTGTCAGGACTATTTATTATTTCTAAGAGTTTCTCCTTAAAGACTTGAGGCTTTCAGCCAGACTGCTAGACAGTAGCCCAAGTTGGCATCTCCTTGGCCACAGAGAAGAGACAAGGTGCAGTTATGCTTCAGATGTCCCTGGAGCAGAGCATGAACTCAGACATTGTAGGAAGAGACTCATGGGACACAAGACTTAAATCCCCAAACGCTAGAAAAGTCTCTGGGGACTTTTGATTGACTAGCTCAGAGAAGCCTTCACCAGTTACTGTTGAGTTTATTTGGACTCATGGTAACTCCATGTGTGCCACAGCAGAACCTGTTCCACAGGGCTTGCAATCGTTGATGTTTTGGAAGTAGATCTCCAGATTTGTCTTCTGAGGATGATCTGAGTAGACTTGAACTGCCAACCTTTTGATTAACAGCAGAATGTGTTGATCATTTGCACCACCAAGGGATTCCCAGGGAAGCATTAGGGAGGAAAGATATATTCCACCATACTTCTCAGGCCTTGCTGGGAGGATGGGATGCTGGAAGCATAGTGGGGCTGGGGGAAATGTAGAGCACTCCTTTCTAATGTCTCCTAGCTAGTTTTGCCAACAAGCTAGTTTTGCTTAGTAATAACTCTCTCACATAGGTGACACAAATGACGTGTGTTTTGAAGTCTAGTCAAAGAAATGCTAGACTTGTTTCTTGTTTCCTCCTCCTTCAGGGTCTCATGACCCTCTTCATCCAACCTCAAGGGCTTGTCACCCCTTAAATTTCTCTTACACATCCGGGATTACATAGGAGTGTTTTACACAGCTTCCACTCTTGTTTTCTAAAGGTCCAGGTTTTGATATGACTGCCATTTAGATGATTCACACCCTTTCTTGACCCTCTGTTCTCCCATGTGTAAAGCAGGAGTAATGGTATTTGGTTGCCTCCCACATGAGGTTGTGAAAAGTGAAGGAGGAGTATGCAAAAGGATCTCATGAGCTCTCCTGGGCTGAACAAATAGAGTGAATGACAATGGTGGTAATTTTGCTTTGTACCCAAAGTTACTGCATTTTTGACTGGCCAATTAGGTACCATTTCCTTGGATGGAGCTGCCTTATCCCCATCTTCCACCTTCATCCAGGTATCCTTGGGTCAGTGACTCAGCTCTCTGAGTCACAGGTAATTCATCTGTAAAATGGGAAAAATAAGACCACCAGGCAGGTGAGAATGGAAATAAATGAGTCCCTAGATGTTTAAGGTGTGACGCTGTAGGATCAGCACTGGACTGTGAACCACAAAGTTGGCAGTTCAAACCTACCAGCTGCTCCTCAGAAACCCTAAACAAGGTCGCTATGAGTCAGAACCAACTCAATGACATAACAACAAAAGCAGCATATGTTTAAGTGCACAGCCCAGGTCCCGGCCTCAGAAGAGCTTCATCAACGTTACTTGAATCCAAATTGTTATAATCACTTGAGAGGGAATTGTGAGGCTCACAAATTTGAGTAGGGTAGTGGTTACGAATCGGGCTGCGAACCTTAAGGTCAGCGGTTCGAAACTACCAGCCGCTCCACGGGAGAAAGATGAGGCTTTCTACTCCCGTAAAGATTTACACCCTCGGAAACCCTGTACAGGGTCGCTATGGGTCGGAACCGACTCGACGGCACTTAACAACAACAACAACAACAACAAGTGGAGATAGCACATCTGAATTTGACTCATCTCATAGGATTGTTGTGGGCAGTACAGTGAGTCTTCTGTGGAGAGCGTTCATTACAGTTCCTGGCATGGTTTGTGCTTAGTAATAACTCTCTCATCTAGGTGATACAAATGGCGTTCTCTAGACTGTTACCCTAAAGGTTGGTGGTTTGAACCAACCCAGTGGTACTGTGGAATAAAGGGCCTGCCGATCTGCTTCCATTAAGTTTATAACCAAGAAAGTCCTCTGGGGCAGTTCTGTGTAACACGTGGCTTCACATGAGTCAGGACCACCACCACCACCATTCAGCTACAATGGGTGAGTTGATGGAAGGAAGAGAAAACTCTGCTCTAGTTACAACAGTGGTGGCTCTCTCTTCCTACATCCCTGGGTGCTATTATGCTACAGGTCTGTAGCCCACAGTGTACTTCCCTGGTGAGATCTCTTGGTGTGAGCACCATGGGGAGAGCAGGTCACATAAGTAGTGAACAGGTCACTCTTACTGCCCATTCTCCCTGCTCCCTCTTCTGAAGCACAAGCTTGAGTGAGAGACTGGAGGCCAGGGCAGGAGAAAGGGTACTGAAGGGAATGCAAACTCAGCTTGCTGCCTGGGACCTCAGCAGCAGGCTGTATTTGGCAACATGGAGTGTGAGGAACAGTCACTGAGAGATAGTCTCTGTCTGGTAGCTTCCTTTAGGAGGAGGCGGAGATGGCTGGTGAGAAGGCTTTTTCACTCTCTGAAGGCAGTGGTTGGAAATGTTGAGAGCTGACAGACTGGGTGTCAGAGGGAAAGTTTGGGTTCTGCACCACTCCCTTTCTGTGCACTTAAGTCACCAGAGATGGTTCATAGTTCTCAACCTACCACTCACTGGCCTCTGGCTGCTCGTACCCACTCTTTTGCATCCTACTCATTCTTCATCACCCAGCTCCCATTATCACCTCCACTCTTGGAATTCTCTTAGACTGTTAGGCGCATCGATGGTCCCCACCTCTGAGCTTCCATAACGATGTGCTCACAGTACTGACCTATCATCTTAAAAGGAAGAGTGTTGGAATCTCTTTCCCCTCCTAGATGTTGGTTAGTGCTTTCAGGGCAGGAACTGAGTCGAATTCATAATACAGTCCCAATTTCCAGCACAGTGCTTGGCCCAAAGTCAATGCCCAAGGTGAGTTTCCCGACTTTGTTCCCATGGTTCTTTACGCACGGAACCAGAGTGGGCAACAAGTAAGCATGTCCAGCAGTGGTGGGCAGCATGGAGGACGCGAAGCTCCCACATCAAATCTCTTCTTCTTCACTGGCTTTGCTCCAGCGGTGGCAGCAGTTGGCTGTGATGCCCAAAAGAAAGTTGGTGGCCACAGATGCAATGGAGACCACGAAACCCACAAAAGCGATGAAGAGGTAATCGTCCAGGGTCAGTGTCAGGTGGCAGGCCTTGAAGCTCTCCTCAGTGAGGGAGAAGAGTGGGGCGCCTTCAACTTCAGGGGGGCCCCGGCACTCGGCCAACTGAGAATCTACAACACAGGACGCAGGGAGGGTGAGGTCCAATGGAGTGGGTTGGAGCATTCCTATCACTTTCAGAGGAAGTGTAAAAACTTTACTTATCTTCTTCCCCCAAACATTACTTATTTCCTTTATTCTCCTAACAACCTTCAAGGCAAGTATTTTTTATGTAATTTTTTTTAGATGAGAAAATCACTACTTGGAGAGTTTCATAATTTACCTAAAGTACAAGAGCTACCATTAGTGGTAGGTCTGACATTTTGATGAGGTTCTAACACATGGAGGCCTGGGGTGGCACTGTGGACTAATGCAGCAGACTGCAAAGTCGTTTGAACCACAAGGTCGGTGGTTCAAGTTCACCAGTTGCTCCTTGGAAACCCTACACAGGGTTGCTATGGGTTGGAATCGACTTGACGGCACTTAACAACAACAATATCTCTTAGGAGTCCTGGTGTGGCATTGTAGGATAAAGCACTGGAACACAAGGTCAGTGGTTCAAACTCATCGTTAGCTACTTAGAAACCCTATACAGGGTCACTATAAATCCTCACAAAAACCAACAACAATAATTTCTTATGGGGTCCTGGTGTGGAACTGCTGGATAATGCACTGGACCGCGAGGTCAGTTTTGAGCCACAAGGTCGATGGTTCAAACCCACCAGATGCTCTTCGGAAACCCTATATAGGGTTGCTATTAGTTGGAAGCAATTCGATGGTACTTAACAACAACAACAACAACAACAATCATATCTTCTGGATCATAGTGGCTGTATAATATAAACACTAGACTGTTAACCAGTGGTTCAGGCTCACCAAGCTTTGAGAGAAAGATGAAGCTTTCTACTCTCACAAAGATTTACAGCCTAGAAACCCTTTTACAGGGTCGATATGTGTTAGAATTGACTTGATGAGACTTAACAACCAAAACCCTCTCTTGTGGAGTCCCTGGATAGTACAAATGAAGTTCATTCGGACAGACCTGGTGAACTACTTCTGAAAAACCACCCATTGAATACTAAGGATTACCTTCCTATTCTGACACATGAGGTCACCATAAACTGGAGCCAACGCAATGAAAACTGCTGTCATCTTTTACAGCTGCCTTCGAATTGATCCTAGTTTCTGTCCTTAAACCAAACATAGTTGACAGAGCGATCCTTTCAAACCTGAAGTCTGATCACGTAACTCTGCTTGAAACCCTCACCTGGCTTTCCATCCTCCCAGAGATAAGGCCAAAGTCCTCACAGTGGCCTCCTCTCTTCCTCTCTTCTCCTTACTGATTTTGCTCCAGCTACAACCCTGACCATTCTTTCATAACCCTAAATACATTCCCTCTTGAGAAGGCCTTGCTGGAATGCTTCACCCCAAGATTTCTGCCCAGCTCAGTCCCATAGTCCTGTTGTCTTTGCTCCAATATCACCGTATTAGTGAGCTTTGCTCTCACCATCCTACATAAAACAGCCATACGCACTTCATCTTGCTCGAAGCTCTTCCCATCTCACATAATCTGCTTTTTTTATCTAGTACTCATCACTGTCTGACAGACTATGCATTTATTGTCTATCTCCCCTCCCCCTTTGAGTACTAGCTCCTTCCAGAGTATCCTTGGCACTAGAACAGTGTCTTGTCCAAACTAAGTGCTCAGTGAATGTTTGTTCAATGAATCCATGAGTGAATGACTCTGTCCAACTTCAAAACATTGGATCTTTCTTCTCTTCCGGGTGTTTTTTCCATATATATATAGGGTGTAGAGTTAAGAGTATGGACTCTGGTAAAATTGGACTAGTAATAATATACACCTTATAGGGTTAATACAATAAATTAGATGTTCCTAGTTCCTAATAAGCACTATGTAGTGTTGTAGGCTAAGCACTGGACTGTGAACCACAAGGTCAGCAGCTCAAACCCACCAGCTGCCCCTCGGAAACCCTGTACAGGTTCTCTATGAGTTGTAACCAACCCGATGGCATAACAAGAAGAGCAATGTTAAAAACAAACTTGTTGCTGTTGAGATGACTCCAACTCATGATAACCCCATGTATGTCAGAATAGAACTGTATTCCATAGGATTGTTAATAGCTGATTTTCAAAAGTAGATCATTGAACCTTTCTCCCAAGACACCTCCAAACTTTCAGTTAGGTGCGGAGCCATCGACCATTCACATCACCAAGGGACTCCCATAAGAACTCTGTAAATGTGTGGCTTTATTATTATCCTAGGTTAGCCTTTCTTGACATGTCAGTGAGGGTCATGTTCTGACCACATGTTTCTGAAGGAAGGCGACTTCTCCTTCTGCAGAACTACAGTTATCTCCAATATTTGAGGCTCTTGTCTCACCCTCCAAGAGTCACTTTTATGAGGTGTGTGATGGACATCCATCGTCTCACCTTACTCTCTCTGCCTTGGAAATAAGAGTGGCATGTAGGTGGCAGTACTGCCAGCTGGACCTTGGGATCTTGGGGAACACTTTTGTGGCCACTGGCTTCCTCTTGGGCATCACAGCTAATAACAATTACTTGCAGAGAGCAAGGCCAGGAAAGAGGAAGTTTTGGAGAAGCCAGTCAGTCCCTCCATCACTGGGTAAATATGATTCCATCTCTCACCTTGGGTGAGTCAGTTTTGTCTTTCTGGCTCTTATGCTTTTCCTCTAGGAAAAGGGGAATGATCTAACCTTAAATAAATTCTTTAAGAAGATGAATGTGAGGAATGTTTCTAAATTATGTGCTACACAAATGCTCTTGGTTCAACCGGCAGATTTTGAAGACAGAGAATAAAATGATTGATTTGGATCAAGCCTTTTGAGAAATGAATGAGCATCATTGTCTTTAGAAATGGAGAGTCAGGTTTAGATGCAGCTTGCCTCAAACCCTGGGTGGAATGGTCCCTGACACCTGGGTACACAGTACTACAGACCCAGCCCAAGATGAGAAGGTGTCTGGAGTTGACCCCTCAAGGGCTCTCTCTATTAGGAAACGGGAAGGCCCTGAACTCTTAGATGTACGATTTAGGTGTGTATGTGTATTGGAGCAGTAGTGATGGAGATGAGAGAATTGTGGCTGGGGTACATGAGGACATGAGCATGGACCAGCCCGAGAACACTCGGAGAGCAATGGTAGGAGGTCCTGGGCTTGACGTGCTCTCTGGTGAACAAGGGGCCAGTCTTGAAGTCAGATTTTGTCCTAAGGGTGCTCTTAGACCTCCCTCTGTTGAACTGTGCCCAAAAAGCATCAGTAATACTGGGAATTACATGAAGAAAAAAGGAAAAAGAGGTGAAAAAGACATAAAGGAAGAGGATAATCCAGTCCTACCGACACTGGCAAGTTCTTGGTCTCTAAGAGGAAATACATTGGATGGTGTGGTGTGGAGCGCAGGACGCTCTATGGGGAAAAAAGGGCCCTGGGTTCCTAGCTGTGACCTGCTTGCGTGTTCATCGTGGTCCCTCATCTGTGAGACTGCAGAGATGGGAGTCTTTGATTCTTCAGCAGGGCAGTGAGGACTCAGATGACTGAGAAAAAGAGATCTGTAGGTCTGAGGGAAGAGGAGTGTCTTAAACTGTGTTTTCTGTCCTTAATGCAGGAGTGAGGAAGGGGAGGCAGAGAAGGAGAGCAGGTGGGAAGACCACTCTCCCAGCTCCTCCTCCTGTCCCCCACTTTCGCCCCATCTCAGTCCCCAGCTATTCTGGTCCCAGAGAAACTCTGCCCACAACTCTGTGAAAACATTGGAATCGTGACCCACAGCCCCCCAAGCTATTTCAGTCCTGTGCTCCCCACGCAGTTTTCCTCTTCCTCCCACCTCATTCAACATCTCTTCTGAGCACACACGGAGACCTTGCACCAGGAACGCCTCTGGGTTGGATCCCAACCTCTTCCTGGGGTTCTATGGCAAGAAGTGAGTCCAGACCTAGTGCTGTACATGATGGAGGGTCTACAGCTGGATATTGCCTGCCACCTGGCCAGTGAGGTCACTGCTAGGTGGGCCAGGACCCATCATATCTGTGTGGTTTGGGCTTCTTCAGGTCCCAATCCACCCTCTAGCTGGGAATGGCTGGCTACCACATCTTAACTCATCCTCTCAGTTCCTTACCTTATGCTCAAACCTTATAAAACTCTGCTGAGGTCCTTTGACCTGCCCATTACTCAGCCCCTGGCTCTTCCTGTGAGTTCAGAATCTGGCTCTTCAGGTACAGCTAGAGGACAGTCAGACTGACTTCTGGAGTTCGATTCCTGTCTCCACTTAGCAACAATGTGATTTTGGGCAAGTTATTGAACCTCTCTGTGTTTTTCTGCCCTCTGTAAAGCAAGTCTGCATTATGGTTCTCTTGAGGAGAAGATGAACTAACACATGTAACATGCTTAGAATTGGTCCTAGCACTTAGTGAGCACCAGAACAAACAGTGTTGCCCTTCACCATTTGTCAGACAGTCTTCTTGGTACTCAGTAGACTTAGAAAGAAGTCTCATAGGGTAGAACAGAGCTCAGAAGTCAAATCAACCTGGGTTTTTCCTTGTCCCTACCGATTTCTATGAGTGACATTGAAAAAGTCCTTTAATTGTTTGAAATCTCAGCCCCTTCATGAGGATAAAGTCCTGTTCAGTTGAGTTGCCCTTCAGTTCACTCATGGGGACCCCATGTGAGTCCAGAGTAAAACTGTGTTTCACTGGTTGATTATTTTTTATTTTTGAAATAGATTACCAGTTCTTTCTTCTAAGGAGTCTCTGGGTGGTCTTGAACTTCCAACCTTTTAGTTTGTTCCACCCAGGGACTCTGGGGATTATCCAAATGGGAAGCCCTGTGGGCAGGTCTGTTCTGTCCTATAGGGTCACTGTGAATTAAAATTCACTGACAGCACTCAACAACAACAACCAGCTTTATGGGAATAGATCACCATATCTGTCTCCTGAGGAGCTTCAGCGATGGGTTCGAACAACCAACATTTTGGTTAGCAGTCAAGTGCTTAGCTATTGTGCCACCAAGGTAGAAGCTCATTACATACTTTCTATGACTAGCTATTTGTTCTCTGTCTGTCTGCCTCATGTACTCCCAGGTACCACAGAGACAATTGCCTGTCTTACTAACTGATGGGAGCCCACAGTACTTACCCCAGCATAGCAAGTGCTCACCAAATACTTGTTGAATGAAAGAGCTGGTGAACTAAAACAGGCAAATAGGGATCTGAGCACACAGTAGGTACTCTAGGGCTCTAAGTCCCTGCTTCTGCTTTGGGGGTCATTGTCTTCAGCCAGGCAAGCCCAGTCCTGCTCCTTTTCCTTACCTGCTGTGCAACGCTGGATCCTATTTCGAAGCCACTTCAGCAGGGGTTCCATGGTGCAGCCACATACCCAGGGGTTACCACCAATCTGCAGGGTCATCAGCCCTGGCAGGCCCTCAAGGGCCTCCAGGCTGAGAAAAGCCAAGCCTCCATAGCTGAGGTCCAGGTCTCGGAGCTGCACCAGGCCCTGGAAGGCCTGTGGGTGAACTCTGCGCAGCCATGGGTTGTGGCTCAGGTCAATGTGCACCAGCCCATGGGCTTCCTGGAACATGTCAGCCGGCACGTGGCTGAGGTTGTTGTAACTCAGATCCAGGTGTGCCAAGCGCTTGGCGTGCAGGAAGAGGCCTGGGGGCAGCTCCACCAAGGAGTTGTTACGCAAATCCAGCACCCAGAGCTCCATGTAACACGTGAGGTAGCCGGGTGGCACGGTGGCGATGCGGTTGTGGGCCAGGCTGAGGTTTCGGGTGTCCATTGGCAAGTCTGGAGGCACGGAGAACAGCCGCTGGCTGCTACAGTCCACCACCTGGCTATGGCACGTGCAAAGGACTGGACAGCTGGTGCCGGCATCCGAGTGCATCACCCTGGCTGCCAAGAGGAGGGAGACCAGAAGCATGGCTAGGTGGGGTGGCCCGGGCCAGGGAAGCTGGGCCCAGGTGGTCCCCATCTTAGGCATCTGGTACCAGCAGTGTTGAAGGGAGCTCATTGGGGCTGGGGCTGTGTCCATGGATTCAAGAGTCTGTAGCACAGGATGGCAGTTACATCAGGGGCCAGATACCTGGAAGGTGGGGCTTCGTAGCACATGGTATCATGGCTCAAGCCTTTCCTGGGAGCCTTTAAGGACAAAAGAGCTTCCCAGGTGAGATCTGCAGAAAATCTCCATCTGGAGTTGAAGGGGTAAGAAACCCAGTTGAGATCCCCCAGGATCTAGAAAGATGATCAAAACTTGAGCTGGGAAGGGCAAGAGGATGAGGCTGGACCAGCTGCCAGCGGTTCCTGGAAGGCTCCCTGCAGACCTTTTGTGTGTCTCTCCCCCATGCCTGCTGGGTGCTTCCTCCTGGTGCTCTGCATGAGAGGTGGGAACCTGGAGGTGAAGGAGATGAAAGCTGCCCTTTTAAAGGTCCTCGCACTTTCCCCAAGAAGTCCTGCCCCAAATCCGAGACTGGCTAGGAGACCAGGCTTGAATCCGGGTCTCCAGCAATCAAGCTCTCAGAGGCCATTTCTTATAGTGAGTGGCTCGGTGAGCTTGAGTCCCAGGGGGCCCTGTGGTGGGTGTTTGGGGAAGAGAGACCAGGGGGAAGTGAGTCTCCATGGGCCTCCTGAAAACCAAATCCTTCAGTTTCAGTGGCTGTTAGAGTCCTCTTGGAGGCTTTGTCTTCCCCAGGGCAGGGAGGACCCCCAGGGACACCCACTTTCTGGACTGCTGAGACTGAGAAGAGCCATGTGTCCAAGAGGGTGGGGCTGGGGCCAGTTAGGAGAGCTCTGGCCACTTCTCCAAGCCAGCACCTCCTTCTGCTTGGCTCCGTATCCCACAGGCAGAGGCAGAGTTCCCTCTGTGGACAAGGAAATCCATGAGGTAGGAGATAGCTAGTGTTCCCCTCACCTAGATGTCTGGTCCCACATCCCAACTGCTCTCTCTGCCTGCTGATCTCTCTTTGAGCCTTAAAGTTCTCTGCAGACTGTCCTCAGGTGTGGGCACCCTGGGTTTCCATTGTTGTCACCCTACCCACCATGACCTGCACGGTACTCTTTGGTCGCATTTTCTCCTCCTCATAGTTCCACCCTCATAAACACAAAACACCCCGCCCCTGCACACTCCCTAAGAAAACATGCAGACACACACTCTGGCCAGGTTGTACGCCCTTTCAGACGCTCAGTTCTTCTGTCTCATGCAAACACACACACACACACACACACACAAACACACACACACACACACACCACTCTTCTTCTGGAACACCCCATATTTTGCCCTGCCCCATGCACCCACCTCCCCTCTGAACACACACTCAGCAGAGTCCCCTTTCGCGTCTGCTCCCACCATCTGTCACCCCCAGTGCACACCCCAATCCCAGCATCCTTTCCCACAAATACTCCACTCCCTTCCTCGTTGTCCCTCAGCAGAAACCTACACCCACATGCGGTCCCTTCGCAGTTAGAGGGACAGAGAACAATGACACACCCGAGCCCACTGTCCACCCTGCGCCGGCAAGGCCCCTCGTTTCTTCTGCCCACCTGCTGTCCTCACTTGGCCTCCTTTCACACTAGATGCTTCCTTGTTTCCTTGTCCTGCACTGCCTTTTCTTTCAGCTTCAATCCGCCCCTCTGGGAAACCACCCCAACTTCCCTTTACCCAGACGCGTTCCTCCGAGATCTCTCCCTCACTCGCCTACAGGCCCTCACGAGCGTACTCACTCCGTTCCAAGGACACAGCCATCAATCTGCGGCAGGCACGGGTCTCCCCGGCTCATCCTGGAATCTCCACTTGCTGCTTCATCATAACAGATTGCCTCTCTGGCTCTTCCCCTCCCCCTGCCTCTCCTCCTCCATGTCTCAAGAATTCCGGGGTGGCATCCTCTGTGGCGTCCTGTCCCAAAATCCCAGTGCCCCCTCTTTCACCCAAAAAGGGGACCAGAGAGTGGATGCTTGAAAGAAAGTTCACAGAATCCGAATGCTTCTCCCTGAAACTCAGCTGGTGCTAAATCAGCTGGGTTAGGAGGCTGCCGCCAGGCCTTCCCCTCCTCCTCCTTCTCCTCTCCTCTCTCCATCCCTCCCCCTCCCCTCTCCCTTTCTCATTCCCCTTTTTCCTCGAGGGCCAGGTACTGACGTTTCACTGTCTCTTAGCAACTGCCTCCACATCTCTGAGCAACAGGAGAACTGGCTATGGACCCCACCAAGATGAGAGTGAGAAGAAAGAGGCAGTCGGTAGAATCCACCTCCACCCACAGGATCCTAGTGACAGGGCCGGGGTTAAGGCAGAAGAGGCAGGGCAGGACCGACCCGGGGAGGGGAGGACGAGGCAGGGGAGAGGGCAAAGAGACCTGTCAAGAAATTTTGGTAATCGGGGTCAAGAGAAGGAGGGAAGGGGGGTGTTTTAAGGGCACCAGAACCAGAAGGGAAATAGAGAGAACTTGGAAGGAGGGGGAGACAGCAAGAAAAACAGGTGATGGGGAGTGGGAAAGAAGACATGAATAAGAGAAAGGGGGGAATAAAAGAAGAGAGAAGTGAGTGAAAAAAGAAGAGACAAGTTTGCTCCCCTGATGAGATATATCTACAGAACAACACTCAGAGAAGAGGCCATTACAACCAAGGGCTGATGCCCTCAGAAAAGCAGAGCTGGCAAAACACCTTACCATGAATGGTTTGAAAAATCGTAGAAAACATAATTATCTCAAGGAGCTAAGAAAGGTACACAGCACAACTCAATATTTAATATTGACTAATGCGTCCTATGTAGG